GGGTGACAAGGACCGTGGGCCAGCTGCTCACACTGAGGCCCCTGGGTGCCTTTGTTCACACCAGCCCACAGCCATCACCCAGCCTGGGCCCCACCCAGGGAGCTGTCAGCAGAGATCCTGCAGTGGCTGTGGCTTCCCCCGCCCCCCGCCGGGAGGCAGGGCCAGGGTCCTCCACAGGCCTGTGTCTGGCAGCCCCCAGCGCTCCCCTGCTGATGAGAAGTTCTACTTCCCAAAACCACCTGCAGCTCCTGGGCCTGGTCTGGGGGTTTGGAGTTCCTGGCCCGTTTGCAGAGCCCCCAAGCAGGCTTCCACCAGGTTCCAGTCTCCCAGCTGTTTCTCGCAGCAGCCACGCCCTCTCCATGCCCCTTAGTGTGCGCCTAGAACATTCCAAAGAAGGGACACCCAGTTCCTCTCAAAGATGGTCAGACCTTCCATCCTGCCCAGATCTGCTTCTGTGACTTGTTATCAAGTGTCGGCGTGCTGAAGGCGTGCGTCTCCTCCCGCGTCTCTAACCCCCTGGGCGCTGTGCAGTAGACAGTGTGGGGGGCTCTGTGGAGGGTGCTTTCCGAGGCATGTGTAGTGAAGGCTATAGGACCTGCCATTAACTAGCTATGTGACCTTGGGCACGTCACTTACCCTCTGCCTTGGTTTCCTCAGCAGCCAAATGGTGGTGATTATCTCGGGGGGGGGCACTTAGTGGGTGCTCAAATTACACAGATGGGAGTTGCCAGGTAGGATTTCAGCCCAGAATGGACCCTGCACGGCCGGTTGTCTCTGCCCCGCCCCATGAGGGCCCCTCTGCTGCTTCCCTCCTGAGCGCCCTGCCCTGGGCTCAGGAGGCTGAGGCCAGAGAGCAGCTGACTTTCCATTGGGGCCTCCTGAGGTTCCCACAGGAGGGACGAAGTTGGAGGCTCCCACAGGAAGCACCCTGGGGCCTGGCCCAGGCCCAGCCTCCTGAAGCTGTGGGTGGAGGCTTTAGAACAGAAGCCTGGGAGCAGGCAGGGGCCTGCGGGGCCAGAGTGTGGCCTGTGCTGGGACCCCAGGCTTGTCTTCGCCCCCACTCACTGCTCCTTCAGAGCAGACAGGTGGCTTCAGGATGTCCCGAAGCTCCCAGCTGGCCCAGCCCTGCAGCCGATGGGGGAAGCTGCATGAGGTGACCAGCAGCATCTCCAGGCCCCGCGGTCTGCCAGGGGCCTGCATCACAGGGCGGTTGCCTGACTGCCCTCCTCTGGCCCTCGGCTCTCCCCCCACAGCCCCGCCCAGCTCCTGGCAGGTTCGTGTTTGCACAGAAGGCAGCTAGTATCCCACCTCTGAGACAAAGCTGCCTTTTTCTACTTGATCCATGTCTTCTACACGTGTGGCTATGACTTAAATGTTCTCTAGCATCATCGTTGTCAGCCTTAATTGTTTTTTAAATTTAGGAGAACTTTTGTTCTCTGGACCAAAACGCAGACAGGGCAGAAATGTGAACACCCGCGGAGAGGCTGCTTCAGCCGAGACGGGGCTAGAGGTGCTCAGCTTCTCCCCATCGCGGGCCCAACAGGAGGAGGGGCGCACACACTCTGCTGGCCTGCAGAAAGCCCCTCCTGGGACAGTCTGCAGGTGACACCGTCCCAGAGCCATACAGGATGGAGAGTGAGTCCCAAAGTGGGGGCAGCTATTCAGGGTGATTTTAGGGGCCACCTAGAGGAATAGCTTTAAACCGACAGTCATGAGTTGACATGTCTATTGGAGGAAATATAACGAGAGGCCCAACGAGATTCCCTGGTCACTATTGCTCAGAAGGAGAGTAGGCAGTGAATTGATTTAAAGAAAAGCACTCAGTGAATGATGTGCAGGAGGAGCACATGGGGCAGAGCTCTCAAAGGTGGTTCGTGCGCACAGTCTGGGGGCCCAGGGAGGCGTGCGTGTGTGGGGAAGCTGTCCTGGGAGCCGGGCTCGGAGTTACTGCGCCTCCCGCCTTTACCCGCAGTCTCTCATCTTCCTACTGATGTGTCCATCCCACGAGTGTGTGTGGCCCCCTGCTGTGTCCTATGTCCTTCCTGGTGTAGAGGATGCCACCCCCGTGGCACTCAGAGTCCTGGGGTCTGGGAGGGCTGTCCAGGGATGGCATCAGTGTAGTGAGCCTCCAGGACGAGTGGGCGGTAGGTGAGGCAAAGACAAAGGCTTTCCAGCAGCTTGGGTTGGGGTGGGGCGGTGAGGGAGGGAAGAGTGTGGTGGTCTTGAGGGCGGGGCAGGGGCACAGAGGGCGACAGGGGCAGAGGGCTTGAGATGAGACCAGAGAGTCACTGGGGGCTGGATCTGGCTGGACCTGTAAGCCATGGCGAGGATTGTGGATGCTGTCACGCATTTAGCCGACATTTATCATGTTCCTGCCCTGGGCTAGGCCTGGAGGGGTGCACAAAGTCACAGAGCCTTCCCTTCAGGTGCCTCGGACTGGTGGCAGGCTTCTGAACACCTAGATGGCCTTTTCATAAGTGCTGTGATAGAGGTGTGAACCGGAGGCCAGGGGAGCACAGAGGGGAGAGGGGCTGCCATGTATGAGAAGGCAGTGATATTTGAGCTGGGTTTTGAAGGATGAGTAGAAGTTTCACAGGAGAGAGAGGAAAGGCATTCCTGGCAGCGGAACCACGATCAGTAAAGGCACAGAGCTATGAAAAAACCCAGAGGGTTTGGGGAAATGCCGGCAGCTGGAGCCATAGTAGGCACTAGGAAGAGGAGAGGCCAGGGGATCGAGTCCACGGAAGTCTTCTGGCTCCAGCCAGAGTTGAGGTTTCCCTCCACAGGCAGCCAGGACTGGAGACCAGGTTTGAGCAGGAGAGGAAGATGCCTCTGCCGAGGGGTGTGGTGAGCTTGGGTGATGGGCAGGACAGCACTGCCACCACTGCCCAGAGGGGTGTGAAGATGGCCAGGCCTGGGCCACGGCCAGGGCTGGAGGCGGGCCCTGTGCAGGAGCACAGAAGGTGGGGGCTGCGGAGCATGCCCTCTCTGCGTCCCAGCCAGGGCCGGCCTGGCACCCGGAGCAGGGAGCTCTCATCACGGGGCGGTGGGCTGCATGCCACGCCAACTTTGAAGACCACAGGCCTTTTCCAAAAGGGTGAAGCTTCCAGGCAGCTGGGCCCGTGGTCTGAGTCCAAGGCAAACAGGAAGCGCCCAGGGTGGGCAAGGCAGGGCCTCCTTCTTTGTTTGGAGAAGCGATCAGTCCAAGTGGCTTGGGGATCTTTCTCTGCAGAGATGGGAGGGGCTGCGGGCCCAGTCAGGGACATGGGAGACTGGGGTCGGGGAGGCAGGGCCCTGGGTGCCAGCCCACAGGGGCACCGTAAAGACGGCTCCCTTGGCAAATTCTGGCCTTGATGGAGGGGGACTGGGAGCACATGCTACGTCACCCTCGGGTGCTGCTGGTCCCTGTCACCGTGCCAGAGCTGGAGCCCTCTCCCGGGCACTTGCCTTCCCTCTGATGCCCCTTGACCAACAGCCCGGGCCTGACGGGGGTGGCTGGCAATCATCCCTCTGCAGCTGTACCTGGATGAGTTCATCTGTGCGTGCGCTGCGTTCCAGCGTGCGGTCACTCACTGAGCCTTCCCACAGGGTCAGGACGGCAGGCCCAAGCCAGGGCAGGGAGCGGCGGACGAGCTTGGTCCCTAGGAGCTGATAAGCTGACGGGGCAGTCAAATGGGACCTGAGATGTGTGTGGCTCCAACAAGAGTGCTGCCTGTGTGCCGTGGTTGCAGGAGGCTCGAGAAGGGGGCAGAGGGTTCTCCCAAGGCAAGAGTGGCGGCGGGGACAGGAGTGGACAGGGGCTAGAGAGACTGGATAAGAAGCCACTCCTGACCCGACTCACTCAAGTATCATTCCCCGTTCACGCGTGTGTGCGTTCACGCAACAGATGTGTATTGAGCACCTGCTGCGTGCGAGCCAGGCACCGTGCCGAGTGCTGGAGAGCAGAAGCAGCCAAGGACCTGCTTCCGCGGGGCCTCAGGTGGTGCGGGAGACAGTCAGGACTCAAGTCATCACCACACAGATCAAATGGGAAACTGCACTGCATTATGGGGCTTTGAAGAAGAGGTCTGTGGTGCTGATGGAGCTCATGGGGCTAGAGCAGGTCAGTGAGGTCGAGGCCTCTTCTCTGAGACACACTTGAAAGATGAGTAGGAATGAACCAAGGCAACAAGGGAGAGAAGATGAGCCAGGTGGAGGGAACAGCACGTGCAAAGATTCTGTGGTGGAAGGGCTGGATGAAGGCCAGAGTGGCTGGAGTGCCATGACACAGGGGAACGTGGTGAGAACGAGGCTGGGAAGTGGGCAGGCTGACAGCCGCTGAATTCTGGGTCCCTTTAGAGTATTTGGTCTGGATTCTACCGGCAAAAGGAAGGTTTTAAGCAGTGGTGGAAAATGACCCAATTGTGTGGCGAGCAGGTTTGCGGGGTCCCGAGTGGAAGTGGGGAGTGGACGAGGGTCCCGCAGTGTCCACATAAACAGTGGAGTGGCTTTGCCCGAGGACATGGCCAGATCAGGGGACAGGGACTTGGAAATGAGTGAGGGTCAGGACAGGTCAAGTCCTTGGAAACTGGGCTGCTGGATGGCAAGGGTGACGATGAGCATCGTTCTCCTGTGAGGACGGATTTTACTGACTACGTTACACAGTGTCTTCATTTCTACCACAATCGGAAAAGAGGCAAAGGCTGAGCTCTGAGAAAGAAGGGACCGATTGTTCGTTTCTGCTGTGTGGCATTTCATGTTTTCTCATTCGATCTTTTGAACACACATGAGAGGGGAATACTGCTATTTATTGATGAGGAGAGAGGTCTCAGAAAGGTAAAGTTATCAGCCCGAGGTCTCGACTGGGAAGAGGTTAATCCTCCCCCAGCCTCCTCTCTGAAACAAAAAAAGGAGAAACAACTTGCTTTATTCGACTCAGTGAGCTGATAATTGAGGGAAAAGTTCTGGCAGGGAGGGAAAGGGAGGGGAAGCTGGAGGGGGACTCCTCCTCTGGGAGATGCAAGGGAGGCTGGGACCGCATCGCTGAGCAGCCCGGGCATCCTTCCAGGCTCCCACCACGGGCTGCCCAGTGTGCTCCTGACCAAGCCACACGACGACTCTCCTGGTCATTGCATCTTTCCCCTTGAGCTCCTGGGAAGTGCTTCCCTGACTCTAACCTCGGTCCTCCTGCCTCTGTCCCCACTGTCTGGGCTTGCAGGCTGACCAATGCCACGTGGCCGCTCCCTCTATCTGCTGGGCCCGAAACCTGCTCCCTGCCCTTTTGCACTGGGGCAGGCCCCCGGACAGCCAGCAGCCTGTAACCTAACACTGTTTGCTCCCAGCAGGCAGCCCTGAGCCGCAGTCCACATGCTGCTCCCTGATCTCCGCTCCTGAGCCTGGGCAGAGCGTGCCCCTGCCCAGTCCAGTGACCTTCGCCTATCTGAGCCCTGGTTAATTTTTGCCCAGCCTTCAGGCAGTGGGGCTCCTCCCCCTTGGGGATATAAGCCTGGCCCAAGGTGGCTCTGGTCCCCACCTGCCCTCAGCCTCCCCGAGCTCCCTCTCCCAGCCATGGCCAAGGGCTTCTTCGTTCCTAAGACCCTGGGCATCCTGGGCATCGTCCTGTGCGTGGCGGCCGTGTGCACCATCATTGCTCTGTCTGTGGTGTACACCCAGGAGAAGAACAAGAATGCTGCCAGCTCCACTGCGGCCAGCACCAGCCCCCCGACGAGCCCCAGCACCACCGCGGCCACCACCTTGGACCAAAGCCAGCCGTGGAACCGATACCGCCTACCCCAGACGCTGGCACCAGAGTCCTACAACGTCACCCTGAGGCCCTACCTCACCCCCAATGAGCAGGGTCTGTACATCTTCACGGGCTCCAGCACTGTCCGCTTCACCTGCAATGAGCCCACCGACGTCATCATCATCCACAGCAAGCAGCTCAGCTACACCACCACCGAGGAGCACAGGGTGGTCCTGCGGGGTGTGGGTGGCGCCCAGCCCCCCGACATCGACAGAACCGAGCTGGTGGAGCTCACCCAGTACCTGGTGGTGCACCTCAAGGGCCCACTGGAGGCGGGCAGCCTGTACGAGATGGACACAAAGTTTCAGGGGGAGCTGGCTGATGACCTGGCAGGCTTCTACCGCAGCGAGTACATGGATGGCGATGTCAGGAAGTAAGTGGAGGGGCCGGCCTGGCGGGGGCAGATCCGAGATGTGGAGGCAGAGTCGGTGCCTGAGGGCCAAGGAAGGGCTTGGATTCCAGGCCTTTGAACCTTCTGGAGCCCTAGGCGGGCCCATCCCTCCCTCTGCAGGCTCAGAGGAGAGAAATTTGCCCAAGGTCTCCCAGCTAATACGGGGATGGAGCCTGCCAGGACCTTGATCCTGAGTCCAGAGGAGCTCTGATCCCCCATAATCAGCGGGTGTGTCTGGCCAGTAGCTGTGGCAGGGGGGGCAGGGTTAGGCCGGAACAGCCTTCTGTGCACCCCTTCCTCTGCATGCCCAGCAATACCCTAAAGCCCCCCTTCTCCCATCTCCACCCCACTGGGTGCAGGCCTTCTGCCGGCACAGCCTCTAATACCCTTGTTTGGGCAGGGTGCTGGCCACGACACAGATGGCACCTTCAGATGCCCGGAAGTCTTTCCCGTGCTTTGACGAGCCATCCATGAAGGCCAGCTTTAACATCACCCTCATCCACCCCAGAGACCTCACGGCCCTGTCCAACATGCAGCCCAGAGGTGAGCGGGGCTGTCCGGGGCCTCACGGCCTTGGGAAGCAGAGACCAGGGCTGGAGTGCCGGGCGGGGGCGGTGCGTCCCCACCTACTTGGATTCTCCATGCCCAGGTCCCAGTGTCCCACTTCCAGAAGACGCCAACTGGAGCATCACCGAGTTTGAGAGCACGCCTGTTATGTCCACATACCTACTGGTCTTCATCGTGAGCGAGTTCACGTATGTGGAGTCGAAAGTCGCCCAATGACCGTCCTGGTACAGACCCGGGCCCACCCGTCTTCCCCTGGATGGCATGGTCCTGGCCTGAGGGGTAGTCCTGTTGATCCTCAGCCCTGTCCCTAGCGCCTGAGGTGTTCAGTGCCAGGATGCAATGCCAGCTCTGAGGGTAGGGATCTCGGCAAAGTCTTAAGCTCTCTGATCCTCAGTCTCTGCCTCTGAAAAATGGGTCCCGACTCGTGACGGGTGTTCCCAGCTCACGGCCACCAGACGATGGTGGCTCTGACCCTTGTGACTCCCCAAAGGCTCCTCCCTAGGACTCAGCCCCTCAGAGGCCCCCAGCCTCTCCTCTGCTGACCAGGCCTCCCAGTTTAACCTAGTTGGTGCCCCCCGCCAGCCTGCTGGGCCCCGGGACTTGGGCCATCTGCACCAGGACTGTAGAGGGGCCCTGAGCCACGTCCATCCTCTTTGCAGATCCGGATCTGGGCTCGGCCGAGCGCCACTGCAGAGGGCCACGGCAGCTATGCCCTGAATGTGACAGGCCCCATCCTAAGCTTCTTCGCTGGACATTATGACACACCCTACCCACTTGACAAATCCGGTGAGTGATGGGGCCTGTGCACCGGGGAGTGGTGGATGGGGCTCCAGACCCAGAGGCCACGCTGCCAACGGCCGGTCTCCCCAGACCAGATTGCTATTGCCTGACTTCAACGCCGGCGCCATGGAGAACTGGGGGCTGGTGACCTACCGGGAGAATTCTCTGCTGTTCGACCCGCTCTCCTCCTCTAGCAGCAACAAGGAGCGCGTGGTCACCGTGATTGCTCACGAGCTGGCCCATCAGGTAGCCGCCCCATCGTGCGGAGGGCAGAGGAGGACACTGAGGGGCTCTGGGAGGAGAGGGCGCAGTCCCAGCTCTGCCCTTGGCCGCTGAGAAGGGAGGAGGGCCCACTGGCCATCGGAGCAGGGAGGAGTCACCCTGACGTCGGGGAAGTCCTGAGCCCGTGCCTGGCTCGTAGGGGCCCACAGTGAATGGCAGCTCTGGGCACTGTTAGTGACCACAAGGCCAGAGCGGCTGGCCGGCTGACCTCCCTCCCCTGCAGTGGTTTGGGAACCTGGTGACCGTGGCCTGGTGGAACGACCTGTGGCTGAACGAGGGCTTTGCCTCTTATGTGGAGTACCTGGGTGCTGACTACGCAGAGCCCACCTGGAATCTGGTGAGTCTGTGGGGTCTGGGAGGGCGGGGGAAGCTCGGGTCACCCCCTCCCGGCCTGTCCCCTGATGGGTGCGGGGATCTGCAGAAAGACCTCATCGTGGTGAACGACGTGTACCCTGTGATGGCCGTGGATGCGCTGGCCTCCTCCCACCCGCTGACGACCCCTGCTGATGAGGTCAACACGCCGGCACAGATCAGCGAGATGTTCGACTCCATCGCCTACAACAAGGTGCTGCCCAGCCTCGGTGCTGGTCCTGAGACAGTGGGGGTGTGGGGAGGGAGGAGGGACTCCCCCCGCGGAGGAGCATCTGTGCTGGCACGATGGGGGCACAGGGCTCTGCTCGCTCAGCACAGCCCTCTGAGCCGCCTCTCCTCCAGGGAGCCTCGGTCCTCAGGATGCTGTCCGACTTCCTGACTGAGGAGCTGTTCAAGAAGGGCCTGGCGGTGAGTAGCCCCTGGCCAGCCCTGGAGGGGGGCTTCCTCCGGCCCCAACCCTTGTCCCGGAGCCCCTGCCATGGAGGTTGAGTGCAGCACCGGGGCGCAGCCAGCCCTCACCATGTCCCGTCTCCCCACAGTCCTACCTGCACGCCTTCTCCTACCAGAGCACCACCTACCTGGACCTGTGGGAGCACCTGCAGAAGGTGGGTACCGGCGCGCCCTGAGCTGCGTGCTGGGCCCTGAGACACCGAGGTCTCAGGGTGGCTGGTGCATCACAGCCCAGCTCCGCTGCTCACCAGCCGGGCCGGCAGTGGGAGCCTGGG